TTTTTATATGGATAAACGGAAATGGCGATTGTGACTTTAACCAATCTTCTAATTCGTTTATGCTTAAATTTGAAATCCCGCCGAACATTAAAACCGTGAATTTTGGATTACAGCAACAAAGACGAAACCCTATTTACCATAGCAAAAAAAAAGATACTGTTAGTTCATCTCTTCGCAGTCAAAGAAAAACGTAAACGACTTCTTATTCAAAGTCAATTAGTAGCTTTAACAAAAAGATTCCTTTTCTACAAGGGGAGAAATCCTCCCGAAGGAGTGGAAATTGGATTGGAATTGGATTGGAACTCCCGAAGGAGTGGAATTGGAATTGGAATTGGAATGGAACTCTTGAAGGAGTGGAATTGGAATTGGAATGGAACTTCCGAAGGAGTGGAGTTGGAATTGGAACTTCCAAAGAAGTGGAGTGGAACTCCCGATGTAGAAAGGTTAGAATCCCGAAGAAGTTTATAGTAGAAAAAAACAAGATTTTATTCCTACCTTCCATTATGAATGGTGAGCGAAAGAATACCTGAAAGAATTGAACCAAAAAAAGGTAAAAAAATAAATAAAAAAGAGGGAAGTTGCAAGTAGTCTAAAGTAAAAAAAAAAATAATGAAAAAGAGAAGTTGCAAGTGAGTTAAGTAAAAAAAATAATGAAAAAGGGAAGTTGCAAGTGAGTTTAAAGTAAAAAAAATAATGAAAAAGGGTAGTTGCAAGTGAGTTTAAGTAAAAAAAATAATGAAAGAGGGAAGTTGCAAGTGAGTTTAAGTAAAAAAAAAAAAAAAAAAAAACGTGAAGTAAATAAACAACGACGTTTCGCGTCTTCGTGTTTTGTCCAGATACATAATAAATAACGTGATTTTTGAATTGATCTACGACTTCCCCTGCGGCACCCACAAAATTTTTCCGGGCACGTGATAATTGTTACACAGTACTACCGGGGTATTTGTGTAAGAGGGATGACAATGATCGTAATGATGACAGATAAAGGTAATAAGAGCTTATTTTGAGGTGATCGGAGTTCTAATGTTGCATGAATAAGACTATAAATAAATAACCAAATGGGTAGTTCGATCAAATTTTTTTTTTTGCTTCATTTTCTTGAGTAAACTTATACTATACATAAGAAATATTATTTTGTGAAGTGTCGTGTGCTGATAGAAAAGCAGTCATGTGGAAAGTTGGGAGGTTGTTAGGCTGGTGTTGAAAGGTGGTGTGTGTAGAAAGGAGTTGTTAATGTAGGTGTGAGTGGGCGTGAGAAAATAAAACATAGCGAAAGAACATAGTAAGCATGAAAGTAATTAATAATGAACTTTTAATGGATTTTGATGACAAGCATTTATTAATCAAACATTATTATAATACGTCTTGTTTTAGTTGGCTTGGACGATTAAATATCTTACATTTGATTTTTCTTGGATAATTAAACATAATTAACACGACTTATAACAATTTCTTTGAGATAATTAAATTTACACAACCATATTTGATCTTTTTGGACATTGTCATTTCAAAAAAAAATAAAAAAAATAAAAAAATAAATTTAGTAAGTATTAAAGCTGAGAGCAGAATTCTTTATTAATGCATTATGTTTTCTAAAAAACTTTTATTGAAAAAAAAAATCCAACACTTCCTTTATATCGAACTTCGTGCTTTTATAGAAAAAGCAAGGCGAACAATAGAAATGGAACTTGTCGAAACACAAGACTTATATTGTACTACATGTGATAAATACAAAGACAGGGCTGAATTTAAAGATCATAATAAGAAAAAAGAATCTAAGTTGCCCCGAACTTGTAATTCATGTCGTGATTCAAAGAAATCTACTTGACAAAAAAAACGTAAAAGTGAACAGCTTTTTTGATTGAAGATCAGGATCAGGATGTGGTGTATGAACATGTAGAAATTGATAGTCTAGTTGAAAGTGTAGTTTATGCACTTAATGAGTATCATGATCTATTAAATAAAGAAAATACTTTGGCATTTTGTTTTGGATGCATTACAGATGTTGGATTATTAGAAATGTCATTAAAACAAATTGCCGATTTATTAATTGATCATATTGAAGACGCAGATAATTATAAATGTGTGTATGTATTATATTTATTTTTTTACATAATATATATTCTTTTTACTAAGCTAATTTATGTTATAAAGTTATAAACAGGTGTATGAGGGTAAAAGCACGACGACATATCATTATTTTTGTTCACAACGAACAAATTTATTCCAACAAACACGTTTTAGAAAAAATCAAGATGTTTCAAAACATCGAGATACAAAATCTATGGAGCGATACGATTGTAATGGAATGATCAGAATATCTATTAATCATACAACATTAATGGCAACAATTTATATAAGACATCATTTGTTACATCCATATCCAAAAGATGTTTCAATATCCGATGACATTAAGCAATTTATTATGAACAATATAGACCTTTTGCCTCATGAAATTTATGCTCAATTAGTAGAAAATGGGCTAGATTTATCGATTATCTCAAAAAAAATTCATACCTGGTGGGTAAAGTTGGGACAAGGTCGATACAAACAACATGATGATTCTTTTATTTCAGCAGTCATATACTTAAAAAAGGAAAATCATAAAATAATCCTGAATCAACAATTTCCTGTTCGTGCAATTGCATTTACGACTGGAATCTATGATGAGTTTCAAAAATCAAATATAAGAATCCATGAATGTGGCATTGACGCCACTTGTAAGTAATTTTAACAATATTCAATTTTATATTTTTCTAATCCTAATCAAGGTATCTTTTCTAATTATTCCAATCTTCTTGGTTACGGTTACTAATAATACCTTTTATAATCGTAACCAGGGAGACTAGAATATTTGGGCAAGGTACCTCTAGAATATTACTTAATTTTAATCTTAGTTTACTAATTTTTTTATTTTTTATTTTTTATTTTTTTT